GACTGGTGTGTCTGGCTCAGCAAGACAGGGTGCTGGAGTCCTAAGCTGGCAGGGAAAGCAGGGGTAGAAGTAGTTTTGGCACATCAGGTGGCAGCTCCCAACAGGGTTTCTGTGTTCCAGCCCGTCACAGTCTCTTAATTAAAACTATCTTTAGATAGGATTTTTTTGATAAAATGCTTTTTGAAGAAAAAAACCTATTTAAATTAAAAAAAAATCTGATTTTCTTTTTTTAAAAGCATTGATTTTTATCCACCCTGCTATCCACAATATACATACAGATTCATAGATTCTAGGACTGGAAGGGACCTCGAGAGGTCATAAGACTAAGGAAAGTCAGATCTTACCAAAATGCCGGAAATCTGACCCAAAATACCACTTTTCAGTGGTGAAGCCAGTTTGATTTCCATTTAGTCCTCGGTTTCTCTGGACTACGAATAAGGATCCTAGAGAGACAAGGTCGGTGAAATAATATCTCTCATTGGGCCACTTCTGTTGGTGAGAGAGACAAGCTTTTGAGCCACACAGAGTACTTCTTTAGGTCTGGAAAAGGAATTCCCAGCCTCACAGCTAAATACAAGGTGGAACAGATTGTTCAGCATAAGTAGTTAACACATTCTAATGGACCATGCAAGCTGAAGTGGCCTCTTAACACCCCTGCAGTCATAGGACAAAAAAGGATAATGGAGTGGGTTACAGATTGTAATAATAAGCCATATATCCAGTGTCTTTATTATAACCATGATTTTGAGTGTCTAGCAAAATTATGAATTTAAGCTCCCAGGCTTGTTTTGAAAGTGTTTTGCAGATTTCCTTTGAGGAGGACTATGAGGTCAGATATGGAGTGATCATTTTGTGAAATGTGTTTACCCCTCAATAATATGATGTTTTAATCTTCTATCATTTTTCAGTGTGAGTTCATTAGAGAGCGTAGTGATCGTTTGGTTTTGCCCACATAGTTATAATTGGGGGCATTTAGTGCAGTAGATGAGGTACACCACATGTTGTGATAGGCTTGTGTGGGTCCCATAGATCTTGAAAAGTGTGTTGTGGGGCATATTGATCATTGTAGAAATGGAGATGTATCTGGAGGTTTTGCATGTGTTGTTATGGCAGAGTCAGGTGCCGCATTGAGATGATGGGTCCTGGTCTGTATGGAGGTTGCTTCTGATGATGAGCTTAGGGAGATTGGAAAGTTGTTTCAAGGCTGGAAGAGGGGGTTTAGGGAAAAAAATATTTCAGGATGTGGTCACTATCAAGTATGGGTTGTAATTATTTAATGATTACCTGTATGTGTTCCTGTCTGGGTAGTAGGTGACAACTAGGGGCGTGAGGTTTTTTTTTTCTTCCTGTTTTGAAGCAAGTTCTCTTGGGGTATTTGGGTGGCCTTTCCAAGATGTGATCTGCTTTTTTTGTTGGAGTGTCCTTGTTTGGTGAAGGTGGTTTTAAGTGTGTGAAGGTATATATCCTGGACTTTCTTCTCGGAGCATGTTCTATGGTATCTGAGGGCCTTGCTATAAGATTTCTCGGTGTGTTTGGGGTGTTTACTGGATCTGTGAAGATAAGTGTAGTGATGCATGTTTCTCTTGTATTTAGTTGTTTGTAGGATTCCATTATTGAGCTGACTGTGCTGTCCAGGAAGTTGTGGGAATGTTCTAGAGAAAGTTTGATGGATGGATGGTGGTTGTTGAAGTTTGGTGGAAATCTGTGAGGGAGTTTAGGTTGTCTGTCCAGAGGATGAAAATGTCATAGATGTAACTGAGGTATATAATTGGTTTTGTGCTGTATTTGTCCAGAAATTCTTCCTCAAGGTGGCCCATGAAGAGGTTGGCATACTGGGGAGGTATCCTGGTACCCATGCCTGTTCCCATGGTTTGGACAAAGTGTTTGTTGTTGTATGTAAAGTTGTTATGGGTAAGGATGAAATAGGTGAGTTTAACAATGTGTTTGGGGTGGATCTCTGAGTGTTGTCCATTGTCTTGTAGATATTTGAAGTAGGAAGGCATGTGTCATTGTAAGGGATGTTGGTGTATAGGGAGGTAACATCCATGGTGGCAAGAATGGTGCTGTGATAGAGGTTGTTAGTGTTGCAGACTTTCTGGAGGCAGTCAGTTATGAAGAGACATTTTATCTTTGTCTCAGTTTGGCATTGTTGTCTTGTCTTCAGCCGACAGATGGATGCTCTTGGTTTCTTAGAAGCCTCGTCAGATTCCTCAATTTCTTCCCCAGCTAGGTATGGAAATAAACTTCAGTGTTCTGTGTTAGTAGTGCTTCTGAACCAAGTTGCCACATTTTATATTATACCCTTTTATTTTGTGGTTAAAGGCTCTGGTGGTGGTATTTTAAATTATATTAGTATGATACCAGCAGTGTGATTTATTATGTGTGACATATCCTGCTTCCGGTTCCTAAGTGGAGGAGGAGAAGCACCTTCATGATCAAACAAATAGGGCACCCTATCATTCTTTCTTATTAGCTGCTCTGAAAATCTTAAGACTGCTCTTGCCACCAAACCAACATTATAATAACTGTTTTATTAAGAGATCCTGATTTGGTTGTCACTTTGTTCCCTCCCAAAATAATTTCTTGCTTCTTTGATGAGTTTTCTCTGGCAGTGATGATGAAGCTATGATAAAAGAAAGTGATACACAGTCCTTCTCTCTACCTTGCTGACTACACTAGGAATATAGTAATTAAAACCAGTGCAATAGAATATGAATATTAATTAAAGAAGTTTATTTGAGAATAATGAAAAATGGACAGGTAATCATGTTTACCCTTTAATTAATGTAGGAGTAAAAAACTGTACGATGGTACTACATGATATGTTAGACTCAGAATTGGATTACAAATAATTACCCAAAAAGCAGACACTCTTGTCCCTTGAAGTCTAATTTCTTAATGTTTTTATTTCATATTATTGCAAATAAGATATCAGACTGCTCTCGCTGGTATCCATATATCACAAAAGGCCAAGGAAAAATGTCCTGAAAGACAATAGCACCTTGTTCCTATAAATATACTAAAGTAGCACTTAGCCATTAATCAAATATTTCATTCAGTTAGAGAGTGCATTTTTAAATGGTGTATGTCAGTTTGGATCTGGAAGATAATACTCTTGATAAATCTTGAAACTTATTATTTAGACCTCTTTGAAGTAATGAATTGATCAAAGTTGTAAAACACATTATTTATAATATTATAAACAATCTGGAATCTATAAGACAAAAGACATTTAATTCTGCTGTAATTTTTTTTTTTTACCTTCTATAGAATTAAAGTAAAATAAAATGTGTTAACTATTTAGAGTTGGCCGTGACCCACATCTGGGCAAATTGATACACTCTGCCCACAACATGCAACTCCGAAGTAATTTATAACTCCAGTCCATCAGCGTTATAAAACCAAAACTTACTAAAAGTTATTTTAGAGAGATACCAGTAATTAGATTGTCACGTTAAGGACTAAGATTTCTTTTTCTTCAAAAGAGCAGCTGAACTTTTATATTTTTATAACTTTTATATTTGCAGCCAAATATAAACACTTTAACTAGAAAACGATGCTACAAAAACTGAATTTAACTAGATTTCAGATTGACTGTCTCCCGTTAAGAAACAGCTTGAATTTTCAATAGAAAAATGGGACGTCAACCAAATAAGACTACTCAAATTGATTAAGGGTTTTAGCAAAAAGATAGGGTGGCAAAATGTTCATGTTTTAAAATGCAGAAATAGCTATTTATAGCTAGAGAGCTTAAAAGGAATAAGAAGTGTTTTAAGAAAAGAAAAAACTATGCCAAAAATAGCTTTGTTAACAAAGGAGATAACGTTTACAACTTCTTAAAAACAAGCCCTGGGCAAAAATTTTATCCTCACAACACCCCATAAGGTAAGGAAGAACTACTGCCCCTTTTTATTTTCCTGCTTTGGCTTATTGCCAATACAATAAATTCGACTTTGTGTAATGGCACCAGTCACTGAACAACAATTAGTGTTCCAGTATATTATTGTAGTGATAATGGGTCTACCTTGGCATGCAGTATATCAAATCTTGTCACAAGTCTCTGATATAGTGTCCAAGTTTTATTGAATGTCCACAGCAAACGAAATTAAACTTGGATTTAATAACAACACTGCAAGGTATTAATAGGCCTTTGGTGCATATTTTGAGTGCTGAAAGGGTTAACCAATCAGTATGTATGTCAGGGGCACTGGAACGGGGGGGAGGGGGCAGGTGATCCTGGGTGGGGGGAGGGATGGCATGGGGGGGGGGCATGGTTCAGTGCTGGTGGCTCCGCCACTGTTAGGAAGCTTCCGCTGCCCCGATGTATGTCTTGGGCAGTTAAAGGTTAACTTTTTAATCCTAAAGTTTCATAAAACGAAATTTGTCAAAAGTGTGATGATTGCTGGTCCAGTGGAATACAACTTCTTCCCCTATTAAAATAGTTATTTTGGGATTCTGGGAAGGATGAGGGCAAAACTGATTTTATAGGCCAAGCTTAGTTATTCTTATAGCATGTCAGTATGTTGAATTTTTTTCTGTTCTGTCATAGGGCTTAGTAGAAAGTAACTTGGACATATAGTTGTTCTTGATGGCCCTTCCTCTTTCTTTTTATCTTGATCCCAAGTTAGTCAGGCTAGGGCTTTTGACTTTGTATCTTTTCTTTTGGGATTGTCCTTGAACCTTTAATAACAAATAGGGTTTTCAATAAAGTTGTCCTACAAAAATTTCAGTGTTGTGTCTCAAATTCCTAACACAGTTGTCCACTCAAGATATCTCCTGTCAATAGAAAATATTGGAAACCTTGAATTTTCAACTTGCTAGAACAGAAGAATATGACATTTCCAAACTATTAAGAAACACATTTACTACTGTAAGAGTTATGAGTAGTATGGCACACTAGATATTCTAATATTTTTCTGTTCCCTGTAAGAAACGTCTCCTTATATTAATAACTATGGAAGGGTAAACAAACATTTCCAGATTTTACTTATGTTTTATAGGGTCCACCGTGAGAACCTTCACTCCGTTTTATTTTCTGGTGGAGCCAGTGGACACGTTATCAGTTCGAGGGGCTTTTATCATACTGAACTGTTCAGCTTACTGTGAGCCTTCTCCAAAAATTGAATGGAAGAAAGACGGGACTTTCCTAAATTTGGTGTCAGATGACCGGCGCCAGCTGCTACCAGATGGATCTTTATTAATAAACAGTGTGGTGCATTCCAAACACAATAAACCTGACGAAGGATATTATCAGTGTGTGGCAACCGTGGAAAGCCTTGGGACCATTGTAAGCAGAACAGCAAAGCTTACAGTAGCAGGTGAGTCCTGTAATTGACTGCATGACAATGTTGATATGCATGTGACGGGATCCCCGGGGTGCAGCCTGAGACTGTGGGACCACTTTGCCCCCTTAACTCTCCAGCCTGGGCTGTCTCTCACAATGCTTTGCTAGTGACAAATAGCAAACCCCTCCAGGCGCTGTTATCACTCAGCACAACCGCATGGGGAGTCCCATACCCAGCTAGATTGCATGAATGCTCCCAGAGCCACTCATGAATCACAGAGAGAGGTACCAGCCGAATCCCCCCCAGCTCCCAGGCTTGTACCTCAGGAATATACCATCTTGCACTGCTCAAGACGAGTTTCAGAGTAGCAGCCGTGTTAGTCTGTATCCGCAAAAAGAACAGGAGTACTTGTGGCACCTTAGAGACTAACAAATTTATTAGAACATAAGCTTTCGTGGGCTACAACCCACTTCTTCGGATGCATATAGAGTGAAACATATATTGAGGAGATATATATACACACATACAGAGAGCATGAACAGGTGGGAGTTGTCTTACCAACTCTGAGAGGCCAATTAAGTAAGAGAAAAAAAACTTTTGAAGTGATAATCAGGATAGCTCAGTACAGACAGTTTGATAAGAAGCAAGTGTGAAAATACTTACAAGGGGAGATAGATTCAATGTTTGTAATGGCTCAGCCATTCCCAGTCTCCAAGCTTATTAATTGGTTTACCACTTCATCAATGGAAAGTGGATATCCACCAGCCTTTGTAAATGTGAGCAGATTTATCAAACACTTCAGGCAAACTCACTGGTAAAGATGAACAGTAAAACAAGTTTATTGACTACAAAAGATAGATTTTAAGTGATTATATAAGTGATAGGTAAAAAGTCAGAGTGGTTACCAACATAAAATAAAATATAAGCACGCAATCTAAACTCTCATCTCTGTTAGACTGGGCAACACCTAGATTAAGCAGTTTTTCTCATCCCACTAGATATTGTAGTTCATAGTACACAGGTTTCATCCTTGAAACCTGGGCCAGTCTAAGCTGTTGGAGTTTTCAGTCTTACAAATTCACAGCCATGAAAAACGCATCACGGACCATGAAATCTGGTTTTTTGTGTGCTTTTATCCTGAACTATACAGATTTCACAGGGGAGACCAGCATTTCTCAAATTGGTAGTCCTGACCCAAAAGGGAGTTGCGGGGGGAGGGGGGTTGCAAGGTTGTTTTAGGGGTGCCATGGTATTGCCACCCTTACTTCTGCACTGCCTTCGCAGCTGGGTGGCCGGAGAGCGGCGGCTGGTGGCCAGGCACCCAGCTCTGAAGGTGGCGTCCCGCCAGCAGCAGCGCAGACGTAAGGGTGGCAATACCATACCATGCCACCCTTTCGTCTGTGCTGCTGCCTTCAGAGCTGGGTGGCCAGAGAGTGCTAGCTGCTGACTGAGGGCCTAATTCTGCAGGCAGCAGCTCAGAAGTAAGGGTGGCAATACCATACTATGCCATCCTTACTTCTGCGCTGCTGCTGGTGGCGGGTCTGCCTTCAGAGCTGGGCCTCCTGGCCAGCAGCTGCCGCTCTCCAACTGCCCAACTCTGAAGGCAGCGCCGCTGACAGCAGCAGTGCAGAAGTAAGGGTAACAGTACCGCAGCCCCCCTCCCCCACAGGACCCCTACAATTACAACACTGAAATTTTAAATTTAAATACCCGAAGTCATGACATTTATTATTTTTAAAATCCTATGATCATGAAATTGACCACAATGGACCGTGAATTTGGTAGGGCCCTATTTATAGCTGAGGCCTCAGTAATGTCTGATTCTATTATTTTTATGGACAATGTAGCTTTATGCAAACTATATACACTACATGAAAGAGGCTTATAATTACTTCACAACAACAAATCAGACTTCAAAAACAAAAGAAAAAGAAGCCGAAGCAATTTAAGGAGAAAAAATTGGCCATCCAGCAATTTTGCTTCATTTCTCTAATGGTCTGCTTGCCAGCTTTTCTGACAATTTTTTCTTCTCCGAACAAATGGCTCAGGGTAATGATTTCATCCTGACTGGTGCTACAGCATCTCCCAGAGCTGCTGTTTGTTGCCATTTATATTCAGACATTGTCTTTATTACATTATTGTGTGGTATTGTGAAAGATCAGTAACAGTGGAAATAAACAACTGATTTTTCTCCATCTTACAGCAGTGGCTTCCCGAGTATCCCTGAAATGGGAAGTGTTTTTTTTTTTTTTTATAAAATTCCTATATGTTTTTGGAAATGATATTAAAAGCAATCCCAATAATTTTATCTAAAATAATTATAATTTATCCTCTTTTGACTGAGTAGTGGTATTTGATTTTGCTGAGTTCTACACCAGATCATTTACACTATGTGGCATGTCTGTTCTCATTTTCAGTGCAATGATTATGAATAGGTAAAGTTAATAGAGTGAGAAACAAAGAGAATTCAAAACACCTTTTAAAATGTCCAGTCCTTGTTTTCCCCTTTGTACCTTTCTGAAAATTCCAGTGATCTAGAGTGGAGGTTCTGTGACCATATCACCTTTAATAAACTTAGAAATGCTGCACAGAGAGATTTTTTGTTTGTTTGCACTCCTAAAGGTACATTTAAAAAAGTTTGTAAGCATTGGCATAAACAAATCTTTCCACTCTGGATGAGGCCATTGTAATACAAACGTGTACCGCACAAACATTTTCAACCCACACACCCACATTCAGCAACCCTGCTGTCTTAGAAGAATATTGATTGTGGGTGGAAACATTTGTTAGAAATGCATATGACACAAAATATCACTTATACATTTTTTAGTGGTAAGTGAAATTGAGTCTGGAGCTGAGATCTTGCTTAAAGCCCTAGCCTTTGAGAGAACAAGGATAGTAGTGGTGGTGTTGAAGTATTGGACTTGGACACAAAAGATTGGAGTTTAATTTCGGCTCTGCTACAATTTCCTGTGACCTTGGGCAAGTGACTTAATTTACCTATGCCTTGGTTCCCCATCTGTAAAATGGGAATAATACTTCCTTTCTCCCACCTTTTGACTATATTGTTTATTTAGATAGTAAGGGCTCCCTACGCACTAATGTAGTACAAATAATAATATTAAAATAATTAAAGTTGGGTAGGTTGGTCTTATGTGATGTATAGGAGTTTTATGTTGCCATCTGTGCTGGGATGCACTTCATATGTTTAAAAAATGGTGAGGTGTAATATACATTTTTTTATTGAAGTGAGTTTGGAATAACTATTACTTACAAGTGGCAAAACTGCAGGTGAGTAATGCAGTTCAGTGATTGCTAATAAAACACTTATGCTACACTACATTGTGTACCCTGTATATGACAAATTCTACAGATACTATGCTTGAGTTTTTAACTAAAAAAAAAAAAAGGGTATTTTTCAGAACCTTCTACATGTAAAGCCAGGCTGGCTACATGCTGTGAATATATAGGCTTTGAAAGGAGTGGTAAATTGTAAGTGATACTCTCAAGGCTGATTCCCCACTTTGGCACTTCGAGTGCAGAAGGTGGGGGCCCGGAAGGATTCTAAAACTTAATACTGGCCACTCCTGGCTTGTATTAAACACCCAAGGTTACAGCTTCTCTCTGATCTTGGATGGGTAGATGCTGCCACCACCCAAATGCAAAAACTCCCTTTTGAGAACTGACAAAGGTGCACTTGGGAATTCCTTCCTGTGGGGTACCCTCAAGCCCTTTCACCCCCCCCCCCCTTCCGGGGAAGAGCTGAGAAAGAAAAACAAAGGAAATCAGCTGTTGTCACCAGCTAATTAAACAACATATGCACAAACCTCTGAGGATACAAACCCCCCCCCCCACCTGTTCTTAAAAAAGGTCAATTTTATTAAAAACAAAAAGAAAGAAAATATATCTGGAACTTAGGCTTTTGCTCGATTTTAAAAAACCCACTTACAAAAATTTAACATCAAGAATAACCTTCTTGAGGTCCAGCTTAATGGTTACCAGGAAAACAAAAGCATTTGGGGGTTAGCACAGAGGAGTCTACAAGCCAATAAGAAATAAAAGAAATAACCCTAATCATGTCTTCCTAGACATTCCCTTATTTACTTACATATTTGGGGTTTCAGATAAGCAATTCCTAGGTATGGTTTGATGATTTTTCATACCTAGTTTAAAGCTTCCTACAGCATAGTTCAGCCCTGTTCCTGCTCTGCCTCTCCTCTCTCCGGAGAACAACAACAGACAGACAAAGGGGGAGTCTTGTTTCAATTTTTAAAAGTTCTAGCCTTCCCATTGGCTCTTTTGGCCAGGTGCCCACTCAGTTCCTTTTACCTATGCATGCAGTCAGACTTTTTAACTCTTTACAGGGAAAGCAAGTAGAGAACAGCTACCAAGAGGGATTTTATAGCTAGCTGGCTGGCTGGGTGTCTATAAAAGGAAGCTTCCCCCTCCCCTTCATTTATCACAGATACATTTTATAAATATTATTAAATGTAAACGTTTCCCCTACATCATAATGTCACACATTTAATGATCTGCCAACATTAGAAACAGATGCCTTATACCATCTATATGGCGTAGAAAATATCAATAACTAAGGTGTTGCTGCTGATACATACATGCATTAATATTATATGCAGTGCTGAATAAGATCTGTCTGCTTAGAAAAGCTTTGTAAAATATCATTTAATTCTCAGTTTCTGAGTTTTAGATTGCTTTGACTGTTACTAGCGACAGAGTCCTGTGGCACCTTATAGACTAACAGATGTATTGGAGCATAAGCTTTCGTGGGTGAATGCTCACTTCGTCAGATGCATGTAGTGGAAATTTCCAGAGGCAGGTATAAATATGCAGGCAAGAATCAGTCTAGAGATAACAAGGTTAGTTCAATCAGGGAGGATGAGGCCCTCTTCTAGCAGTTGAGGTGTGAACACCAAGGGAGGAGAAACTGCTTTTGTAGTTGGCTAGCCATTCACAGTCTTTGTTTAATCCTGAGCTGATGGTGTCAAATTTGCAAATGAACTGAAGCTCAGCAG